TAATTGCAGTGAGGAACCTCTTAAAACATTTATGCAAGGAGCACAGACTAAGGATTCTTTCAGGTTTTCCATACTGTTGTTAAAAATGGAGTTATTTCACTTCGTGGGTACATTACTTGATTTAATATAACTGAATCCTCCATGAAGTGAAGTGTGCTTTATAATGAAAGTCTGTTGCAGTAGAGGCACAATTCCTTACTGTGGAAGTTTCCATTTGCTTCAGTAGAATTTCTTTCATACGTTTCAGGGACTGGGGTGAACCTGAGAAATATGCTAGCTGACCTAATGCCTCTTTGTTAACTTTTGATTCCAAGTTTTAATTAAGGCACAGTGGGGAAACTCTTTAAATACAGGGGTGCTCCAAGAATAATTAATGGCTTTAAAATTCTTGTAGCACTAGCAAAGCCTGTGTTTATATTTGTACCTTTGCTTTGATATGGTCAAATATATATTTAATGTATGTGAATACATATTCATACATAACAGTATATATATAGATTAGACATATTTTTATGTATGTGAAACGGTGCAGACATATATAGAGAGGCTCTCGTAAAAATCTCTAAATACATTCAAATAAATACAACAGGCAGTTGCATAGTGTTATAGAGAAAGAGCCTGACTTTCAAGTCTAGACATTAGGGTTTGGGGTATTATTTTTATTTTATTTATTTATTTGACACAGGGAGGGGGGACAGAGAGAGAGAGAGAGAGAGAGAGAGAGAGAGAGAAAGCATAAGCAGGGGGAGCAGCAGGCAGAGGGAGAAGCAGTCTCCACGACCCATGCAGGGCTGACCCATGCAGGGCTGATGCAGAGTGGTGCTGATGGGATGCAGGGTTCCATCCCAGGATCCTGGGATCATGACCTGAGCCGAAGGGAGATGCTTAACTGACTGAGCCACCCAGGTGCCCCTAGACATTAGGGTTTTTAAACTCAGATATGTTCCTTTTTTTTGTTTTGTTTTTTTTGTATTGTTCCATCAAAAGGAGAGAATTGGTCATTGTGATTTCCAAGGTCCTCTTTAGCTCTAACATCCTCTGACTTGATGACTGTAATGGAATTTGTAGCCTAATTCAATACTAAGTGTTTTGCCTTTTAGTTCAAAAGCAGAGAGTAACATTGCTAATGAACCGATCCTATTATGCACTAGTTGGTGCCCTAAAAAGTTTGTCAATGTATAATGCGACTGTAGATTTATTCTTTTTAAAGCTTTTCTGTGTTGGGAACCACTTTCATTCTAGGGAGCAACTTAGGTATTTCTAGAAGACATCTAAGTCCTTTGAATCTGAACTTGAACTTTGTGGGGAGCTTGATTTTTCTCCTTAACATACTGCTTTTAGAAAAGCAATTTTTCTTTCTCTGACTTTCGCAGTTCCTTGCACATAGCAGGAACTCAATAAATATTTATTGGATTGAATTTGACCTGCTTAGAAGTCATAGTCCTAGCGTAGGGTTATTCATTTTTGGCAGAAGCTGTCATAAATCACAGAGTTTAATACTAATCCAACTGATGAACTGTACATTCAGCAGCATATCATAGGTCAGCATGGTATGTTACACTTTCCCAAATGCAAATTTAGAAAACTGTGTGGCCCACAGGGGCCTTGATGAACGGAATCTATCCTATTTTGAATCTACTTGTGCCACTTACCCTCAGGCTCCCTGTGCCCTCACCTCTTAGAGTGATTGCATGGACTCCTGGCTTTCTGCTCTTCTCTCTGGGTATGCCTCTCAAGCCTTTGCATACCCTTTTGCCTGGAATATTCCTTTTGCAAATCTAGGTATGCCTTTCTTGATACTCTCATGACAAGATATGAGTGAGCTGCTGCTTTATCCTCCTCCAGCACTTTGTACTTCCCTCCGTTGCGGCACTTAAAGTCTCCTATAATTCTTTTTTAAGCCATCCGTCTTTTCCACTGGAAAACTCCTTGAGGACAGGTCTGTGATTTATTTCATTCTGCCTTCCCCAGGGTCTGAAACAATGCCTGACACGTCGACGTGTGTAGAATTAACAAATGGGCCCCAACGTTCATGGAAATTTGCAAATGGGGTCAAAATAAAAATGTAAATGAGGCTAGCCAGGGATCATTAATTATATGCCTAATTCTAATTAAATTGTGATAAAGTTAGAAAGAAGATCAGCCTGAGATTCAGAAGATGCAGGCTCTTGTGTTGGATTAATGATTTTTTAATAGCCCCTTAATCTTTGTAGTTCTTAGTTTCTTTATCTGAAAATAAATGGATTGGACAGGATCTTTCCAAAGATTCCTTAGAGCAAGAATTACATTGCTTCTAAGTTAATTATAGAGAACTAGGTCTCTTCTGCAAGACTCCTTGAGGCAGGAAGTATGTTCTAGTCGTCTATAATTTCCTGGCAGTAAGCTCAGTACCTGGTATATAGCAGTTATGCAAACAATTGTACTGCATAAAGTAATACATTTCCAGATAGAATTACAATTGAAATAGAGCAAATGAGAAAAAGGTCAGGTAGAGAATAGTAAATTAAAAATCCGTAGCACTTAAAATAATCTGTTAAAGAACATTTACTTGAAACGTGTGAAGAAAATACCTGAGAGAAAATTTTTATCAGTTAAGTGTTCACCAGTAGACAAAATTAATATGAAACTGCCTATTCTCCTAGCTACAGGTTAATAATTTATCAATCTGTGACGGGCTGTACCAAGTTCTGGGTTGCTGACATTAGACTGTGCCTGCTGTAGCATGTGGCTGGCAGTATTTTTGAAATTTGTGGTACTGTCTTGTAGTTTTAAGAATTGAAAAACTATATACTATATATCTTGTTTCAACCAAGATTTGTTAAATCATTGACGTACTTGGGACTTCATCAGTCTTTAGGGCACAATGAGCTTCTCTGGTTGTATCAAAGTCACACAAATAAAAAGAGGGTAAAAAGCTTTGTTAACCCCTTTAGCTATACTTTTCTCATGATTTGACATTATTTCCTAAATTATATGCATCCTACCTAAGAGATTTTGAGGATCGAAATAATATTCTTATATTTAATCTTCGCTTGTGCCTTTGGGTTATTGATTTGAATACTAGTATATTCAATCATGAAAATAAGGAAGTAATCATACTATTTATGTGTGTGTGTGTGTGTGTGTGTGTGTATATGTATATGTATGTGTATAATATATACATACATGAAGTTTTTTAGAGACTCCATCAGCCCAGCCATCTATACATCCATTTATTACACCGGTACTATATGCTGGGTACTTCTGTTTTAGGTATTGTATAAAACAACAAGGAGGAAGATATGATAATGCCCTCAGTTAAAGTGAGAAGTGGTTGTCTTAAATTAAGGGCTGATGCTTGATAGTTTGAGCCAGATTTTTCTCCCTACCAAAAAAAAAAAAAAAAAAAAGTTATTTCTTAAAGCAAGTGGGATAATAAGTGTGAATACTTTTTTTCATTTGTTGTTTCCTGGATATATTGTGTTTGTGGTTCTTGAAATTATTACAGTTCAACTTTTTTCTGTTTGACTCAAGCACTTCTGTGAGTACCAGGAATGAATCCATGTTTTGTAGAACCTGAATTTGGAGGGGTCCTTTTAAAGAAAAATAATACAAAATTGGGTATGAAATGGAGTATGAAAGTGAATTTTTTTCTATTGACAAAAGAGACACAAGTTGTAAAATTTTAAAACATTGATAAACCCATAAACATCAGAGAAGTAATCTCGACTCTATACACTTTATTCTTCGATTCTCTTCCATTGCCCAAGTATATAAGTATATTTCCAGTCCTGGGTGCCATTGGAGACAGTTAAATGACCGTATCTGAATTGGGTATTCCTCTCCATGCTGTGTGCTGTCTGTCCATAGATGCTTGGAGTATGTCTGAATCCATTGTGGTATTGCTTTGGCTGACAACAGTTGTAACTAGTTCCAGAAGTGACTGGGCATCTCACATACCTCCTACAAAGCCACACTAAGTGGATTTCCAACTCAAATCCCCATCACCCCAACTCAAAAAATGTGCCACCTAGCAGGAGGTTAAGTCATACAAGAAAAAGACACCTCAGCCAATTGTGTTTAAAGTATCTTGCTCTTAGAAGTGTTACAAAGAATGTGTGATGAAGGCTTTGGAAGAGGGCTAGCTATTGGAGGGACCCTCATGCTTATGGTTCACTGGCTTCTCAGTGAAGCTGCCTCTATGTGTGAGACTGTACTCCTTTACACTATGTATGCTCTTGTGCAATAGCCAATGATTTCATTTAAAAATTGTTTGATAGGTGGTTCCTTATACCCTGGTTTGAGGGGTAGGAATAAGATGGGTTAACTTACTTTTAACAGAAATTATTTTCAGTTCTGCAGGCAGCCCTGAATGCCCCAGTGGTTGGGTGGCACCTGATGGAGTGACTGAACCATTATGTAACACATGTTTAGAGGCATGGGATATAATATGGGGAGGTGGAAAAGACTCGTTCTGACCTGACACCCATTTACTACTTAATAACTCAGTTAGTAAAATTGTACCTCTTTGTTTTATTTTTCTCAGGGCTTCAGGAACAATATACCCAAACATTAATTTAAATCTATGAAAGAGCTTTAGTGTGGGGAGTTCGGTGTAGTAAAATAATATCTAAATGTGAGACATTAGTTGCCAGCAGAAGGGGCCCATTTCCTAATTTTTATTTTAAAAAGATTATTGGTGGTGTACAATGATTAGCACACTGAAGTTCTACGAAACCACGAACAATGGGTTATTGTAGAAGAGAGAATGAAAACTTTAGAGGTGGAAAGTAAAGATGTGACTTAGAAAAAACTGAATGGAAGGAGAAAATTGGATTTAATTGTATCAAGAAGGATGCAGATATTCACCAGTTCTTTGTAGATTGGAGATAATAGTTTTAAGATCAAAATGTATATTATGGAAAATGAAGAACCAGTACAGTTTGGTAAATTTCTTAACTTTTCTATGAAAGATATTATTGTGGTTCATATGAAAATATTTTATGTTTCTCTTTTTTTAGGTCAGACTGTGCCAAAATCCCAAGCTTCAGTTGAAAAATAGCCCACCATATATACTTGATATCTTACCTGATACATATCAGCATTTACGACTTATACTGAGTAAATATGATGACAACCAGAAACTTGCCCAACTCAGTGAGAATGAGTATTTTAAAATCTACATCGATAGTCTAATGAAAAAGTCAAAGCGGGCAATAAGACTCTTTAAAGAAGGCAAGGAGAGGATGTACGAAGAGCAGTCACAGGACAGGTAAGAGTGTTTCAGCTTTTATTGTTTTTAATGGTAAGGTTATATTTATGTGGCTTTTTGTTCACAGCATAAATATCCCCAAGAATTTGTTTCAGAAGAAATATTGCATTTCTATATTTACTTTTCACATTATTCAAGCCTTGTAGTTTTATTTAAATTTCTTTGTGTTAAGAGCTACTTCATAAGGCACTGTTGTTGTTGTTGTTTTTTTTTTTTTTTTTTTTTTTAAGACTTCAGTTCTTAGAGCAGTTCTGGGTTTATAGAGAAATTACTCCAAAGTACAGAGTTCCCATTCCACGCCCCACGCCCCCCCCCACCAACATGCATTTCTTCTGTTATTAATATCTTGCCTAGTGTGGTACATTGATAAACTAATATTGATATAGTATTATTAACTGAAGCTTAAAGTTTATATTAGGATTCACTCTTTGTGTTGCACAGCTCTGTGGTTTTTAACAAATATATAATGTTGAGTATCTACCATTACAGCATCATATAGAATAATTTCACTGCCCCAAAAATGCCCTGTGCTCTGCTTATCCATTGCCTCTCTACTCCCCCACTGCCTCCCCTGCCCCACACTTTCTGAATCCCTGGCAACCCCTTGTCTTTTTACTCTCTTTATAGTTTTTCCTTTTTTAGAGTGTCATACAGTTGAAATCAAATAATATGTAACTTTTTCAGACTGGCTTCTTTCATTTAACTATGTGTTTAAAGTTCCCCCTTGTCTTTTTGTAGCTTGATAGTTCATTCTTTTTTTATCACTGAATAATACTCCATTGCATTGATGTACCACCATTTGTCTATCTGTTCATCTGTTGAAGGATATCTTGGTTGCTTCTGATTTTTGGCAGTTATGTATAAAGCTGCTATAAATATTTGTACACAGGTTTCTATGTGCACATAAGCTTTCAGTTCATTTGAATAAGTACCTAGGAGCAGGATTTCTGAGTCTAATGGTAATAAGCCTATATTAGCTTTGTAAGAAACTCCCATACTCTCTTCCAAAGTGGCTGTATCGTTTCTGCATTCCTACCAGCAACAAATGAGAATTCCTGTTCCTTCCCATCCACCAGTATTTGATATTGGAGGGAGTGTCTTTAAGACAGTCTTGATTGGATATGTGCATATGATGGATGTGGGTGGGAGATGACTCTTGATTCTCAGGGTTTGACTGCTGAGTCAGAAACTGAACAGGAGTGGCAAAGACATCAACTGAATCCTCACTTTACAGCCAGGATTCCAGATTTAGAGACTCCCCTTTAAAGTTTGTTGTTTGGCTATTTCAGTGTTACATTTCATGATATATCTTAAATTAAGATATTAAATTGAGTGAAAGAAATTAGTATTCCATTTCTTGGATATTTTAAATATATCTAGAATATTGACAGATGTCAATAGTATATTTACATTCCCAAATTTGAAAACAAATATTAGTTAAAATATATGATATTTTAATACAGGTAACCTGAATTTTAGTTTAAGACCCTTAATCTCTCTGGATTTTAGTTTCCTGACATATAAGGAAAACCTCCAAGGAACCTATAATGTTTCTTTCGGGTCAAAAAAACTATCCTCATGTAGTCTGATAAAGCATAGGGTTGTATAATAGCAAATTCACTTATCTAAGTGTGTAGACTCAAAACTTGTCTGTAAATAATGGCCACAAAATACCCAGAATGAGTAAAGCCATCAAAATCAGAGAAAAACTCTCTGCCAAAATGTAAAATGGCATAAATGTTTACTTATTTATAATTTTTTCTCTAAATTAGTGATGAACTCTAATGTAATCATGAATGTCTACCCAATTATAACTGTGGGCTCATCGCTTAATATACTTGGATCACAGTGTACACATCTTGAGGGTGGTGAAATCTTGCAGTTGCCTTTTAGTTTTAACCCACTAAGAGTCTCTTCAGGACTGCTAAGAAGAATGTGAATCACCACACGGTATCAGAGTAGAGAAATATGATATTGTTTCAAGAATGGTATCAGAAGTAAAGTAGACAAATACTGTATTCTTTCAGAAATGACCAAGGTTATGGGGAAGCCAGCTGTTTATGTTTAAAACTATGTTTTTACTTTGTAGGTCTACCAGTGATCTATAAAATCAAGTTATTTTATAACTGTATTTATACATCCTGCTCAAATTTAGTAGCCCTGAAATTCTTCATGAACCAGCAAAGAAATCCGTTTAATTTCACTTATTAAGATATCAGGTCAATGAGAAGGCTTATAGTTTCTCAGTCTAGGAATTTGAGTGGATACTCAAATGAGTGTTTTCATTGGATGTAGTCATATATGAGGTGGTAAACCTGTACCCCACTTTTATGACTTCTTTGGAAACCTGAAACATTTTCTAACCCAGTAGATGTCTTGTAATTACCATTCCATTTATAAATTTTGATATTTCTGGCTTTTTTGGGGAGAGTATCATGGGGAAATCTCTATAAATAATGGTTGCTTGTGGTAGATTACCACAGATGATGATAGGTTGCATAATGCTGATGGATCATGTTGAGGTGACTATAAATTCTGTGTTTTAGGTGTCTAAGTAAATTTTGTCACTCTCCTAAATTCAACCCTAAGGCAAAGCTTATTAGTCTATGCTGGTATAGCATATTCCTAAATGAGTTTTATTCTCATCCTTGTTCCATTTTCTGATAGTGTTCTGTGACCAGCTCTTTTTATGCAGAACTTATATTTGATATATGTTTAATCAAAATTCGTAATAATGGACCATTCTTGGTATACCATACCAAGCACATGGATTTTGATTTATGTTTCTTTTGGTGGTAATCTATTTTTACACATCCACTTCTGGGTTTCCTTGGGGTTTTAAATGCAAACTGGGGCTAAAGTGTGCCATTGTACATGGAACTCTGGGACATTTTGCTCTATAGAAAATAAAAGAATCTTCTTAGAATGTTCTTATGGTTCTTAGGCAACAAGGTATTCTATTTGGTAGAATAGGTGACACCCTGATTACTGGGAATATTCTAAATTCTCTGAAAAATCTTTACTTCTGCAAATGACGTCAGCAGGGACATTGGCATTATTAAGCTAAAAACTGAAGGGGGCAGATATAGGAGAAGTAGTGATTTGGAGCTCACTGACTATACCAGTATTGCCCCAAGTAATAATGTACTCTATTGAAGCAAACTCTGTACGTTGCTGGGTGAGTTCATGAATGAAAAAAGTTTAATGTTCCTGCTGTGTCAGAAATAAGGTTCTTTGTGGATTTGTTCTAAACGTAAGGGCAAGTGGGAAAATTTCAGATATCAGCTTTGAATAAGCTCAGTTTTAATTGATTGCTGAAATGTGAGTGGCCTGATTCTTTTTTTTTTTTACAGCAATTTCACATGATTGTGACAAACACCATAAATAATAAATGAAGCAATATAGCAAATGGCATGCAATGTATTTTGTGTATAGGTGAGGGGTAGAAATATAAACATATTTATTTGCTAGTAAAATAGATATTAATGGATTTTCACTATGTGAAAGCCTCTTTGGGAATGGATGGAATAGTGATTTCTGGGGAGAGGCATGCTACATGCTTTGCTTGACTTTTACAGTAAACCTCTTCTCTAGTATTGCTTCTCCTAAGTTTTTTTTTTTTTCTCTTCTCCTTCCTACAAACTGTTGAACCTCATACCAAGTTAGTGCACCTCCAGCTGAATGTCTAAACCATTCTGAATTAGTGTTATGGGGAAGAGTAGTTCATTGATTTCTGGCACACATAAAGTTTTCGTGTGTATGTGTGGGGTGGAAGTTGGGGATCATGGAGAGAAGGGACAATTTGTAGTCTCAAGCATAGAGGAGAGGTGAAACTTTTATCATCTGGCTTAAATTTTTAATGGCAAAATCAAAAATGAGTGTGAAGGTAGTTATAATTAAATGTAGAATTGACAGGAGGGGCCCTTCTTCAGAATGTGGATGCATAGTTTTATCAGTTGGCTGTGTCAGTAGTAAAATTTACTCTTTCATATAAAACATGTGCTGTTCACCTGCTCAGCAAGGCCTGGTTTGGGACTCTGTTTTAGAACACCCAGAGGGGATGGCCTAAGGATACTCAGATTTTCCATATTTCAGAGCTGCTTCAGTGAGCCAGAGTGCAACAACCAGTTTTCCCCTCCTACACACTGGTTTATAACCACTGAAACAAAACCAAAAGTTAACTGAGGTGGAAAAATAGCTCTGCATTTGATAACCTCTCAGTGAAGAAAAGAAAGGCTTTTAAAAAATTCATGCCAGAGAGTAATACATAGATGTTGTCTTCTTATTAATGTCATTTCAAAGCCCCTGCACCATTCCTTATGCACGTGAATTGTAGAAAATCATAGTGTGCAATAGCTTGTATAAAATAGGCTTTCCAAGAAGATTTTTTTAAAAAAGTATTTCAACATAGAAAAACTAGTCCTGGAAGATGCTAGCCTTTATTTAAAATCCTTCAGGAGTATCAGGCAAAAATCTTTCTCTCCACTGACCATTTTAACAAAGAAAAATGTATTACCTGCTACATTAATAAAGTGCTTTTCCTTATACAGGACTATAAATCACTATGCTCCCTGTTTATACCTGTGCTGTAATTTATGAGATAGTGTATCAAGGACAGTCTGGGACTGATATTTTAAAGATACATGGTTAAGTTAAAAGTTGAATAAAAAAATATCAGCAACAACAATAACAGGAACAATAAAACACAAAGCAGCAAACAAACCTACTTGACTTTCTTCAGACCACTGTATGCTGACATTGCTTTGGCCAAATCATAATGTATCAATTTAAATGTTTAAATTTGTATAAATGCAATTGATTGCGTCAGTCATGGAAGTAGTCATGAAATTCCTCCTGGATTTTCAGTTTAACCATATAAAGAGATCTACCTGTATGCATAATTTGGGCTTTATGGAATAGTTTTCATGATGATTACTAGAATTTATAGGTTAATGGCCTCGTTTAAAATGCCACATTAAATTCAGCATTTTCTCCCAGGC